GCTCTTCAATTACAATAAAGAGAACAAAAGACTAAACGACAGACTTTCACAGGTGGGTAAGTAATTGCCCTAAACTAGTTACACATCTGTAATGTGGTTTTGTTTCAGTCAAAGTCTACAGAAGCAACAATTTGCACAGGGAACAAGTTAACAGTTTCTTGGCAAAGTAACTGTCTGGAGAGCATTTTCTCTCAAAAGTCAAAGACTGCCTGGCACATGAACACATTTAGGTAAAGGATGAGATCAGTCTTGGGGTGAAACACTACATACCCTTTCAGCTCCACACGCCTATGGCACTCTTCACTCCTCCTTCCGAATTTGAAGCCAGTGGAACAGGCGACTACGTCCTCAGCTCCGTAGACATTCAAGACCAAAGCGACTGCCCTTCCAAACCTGCTGTCCCTACAGAGCAAAATAATAGTGTTCATCATGTGATACAAACTGACAATCCCTAACTTGAAGGTTAATAACTTCCCTGAAAATGACAGAAAATAGAAAGAGTAACTGCTCGATTTTTTTCCAGTCCTCTAACACCCAAGGGGAAGCATTCAATTAAAATAAATTAGGACACATCTGCAAGATGTTCAAAATCTCCATAGATTTAGCTATAATGGGTTACTTCGATAGGAGTGCATTTACTCCCATACTAAAAATGTTTTTCTAACTAAAATAGTTTAATCCCTCAAGGGAAAAGTAATTCAGTTAAAGACCACAGGTTTCCATTTTGTGGGTTATGCCTCTGTACACCAGACCTATTTTCCAATTCCTAGCCAAATACCATTTCAGAAAAATCACCTCAGAATTTAGAGTTAAAACTTCATTCTTTCTGAAAAGGCTTTGTGACGCCCTTAAGGAAAGAATGATTTAACGCTGTTACAACACAAGCTTCAGGGATGCCACATGTTTCCTTCTGAGGTTTAAAAGTTCTGTCCCTGCTGTAAAGGCCACATATATTAAACTGTTCTCTCAGGTGAAACATGAATATTGATGGTTGTTTGCACAGATGCAGCAGTAGAATCAGATGCTATAATAAT